CAGGATAGAAAAGGTATCCACGTATTTTGGCTTAAAACTCGTACTGCCAGTAAGGAAGCCGTGGGGGAGACATTTCAGCCTTTGAGAGTGGGTGGAAAAGGAGCGAAAACAGGAAAGCAGCACCTAATCGGGGGCTGGAGGAGGGGCTGGTGCGGAGGAAAGGCAAGGCCGTGGCATCTGAGGAATCCCGAAGGTTGGATGCCAGAATTTGACTCGAGCACCTGGCAATAAATGAAATACATCCTGCCTCTAGATGTCAAATGTCTTTTGTTAACTCATATGGCAAATAGCCACAGACAGGAGACTCATTTTTCATGAGTTACTTCAGGAATCTAAAAGGAAAAAGGAAGCAGCACATCTGACAGCAACGTATAATTATGCCTTTTGCAAAAAGTGCTTCTTTGTGGGTGTCTGTGGGCTGGTCCTGCCCTCCGGTTCCCAGACTCAGGACAGTCCTCTGAAAATGCGGCTCTTTTATTGGGACTCCACAGACCACAGAACAGTCTGGACTTTCAATAGCTGTCTGCCCAACTGGAAAGGGAAGCCTCTGCCCATGTAAAGAGTTAAATCCAAGCTGGAAGCTTCCCCTCAGTCCCTCCTGCTCAGAAAGGCTGCAGGCTGCACCGCTGGGGGGCCCTCCAGCATGTCTCTCCCCACACCTCCTCCCAGGGTCAAGGCACCGCTCTCCACCCCCTGAAAGCCCTTCCTCCTCTTCCAAAGCAGGCCATTTCTCACGCTTGGCCTGAGATTCTTCAGGAGGAACTGTCGAAGGGGCTTTGAAGGGCTCGGCCCCCTCTGCCCTGCTTGTTCCGAATCTGACGGTGACTCCCGGGCTGCGCTGGGAAGTGTCCGTAGCTCCACGGACACTTGGGAAGTGTCCATCCAGAAGGTCCAGACTTCCACCTGAGACGGGGAGGGGCGCCCCACAGCCTGCAAACCCCACATGGTCCTTGGCCGCTGTTTGGGAGCTCGACAGACTCTGCCTCGCAGCTAAACAGACGAGCCTTCGGGGGAAATGGCTCTGCCTGGTGCCGCGGTGGCAACGTCAGGACGGCTCTTAAGTGGACCCGGTGCCCAGTGACGGCACACTCATGGGGTCCGCTCGTCTTGTCCGGGTCGCCCATGCTGCTGGACCTTTGGGGTTGGGGTTCGTTGCCCTCGGGCACTTAGGCTGGCGTTGAGAGTGGGGTCGCCCCCTCCCAGGTCACCTGGGCAACACCAGTGGATTGGATTGGGGCCCCAGGCAGGCTGGGGTTGCCCCGTGGCTCAGTACTCCTCAGTGACCCCGGGCCTCTTCCAGGGTAAGCTGGTTTCAAGCCCCCATTCAACCCTACTGCGGAAGGGTCGGGAGCCCCTTCCCTCAGGGCGGGGGAATGTGTGTGTGTGTGTGTGTGTGTGTGTGTGTGAGACACAGCGGCAGGGAGACACAGAGAGAGGCCCCTCTGCAGCCAGGCAAACCGGCCCCGGCACACGGCCCTTCACAGCCGGGCTTCCCCCTTCCTCCTGGCCAGGTGGCAAATTCTGGCAAACATTGACTGAAGCTGGTTACCGGACAGGCCAAGGTGTGGAGACGGCCACAGAGGCCGGTGGCATCTCAAAAAGACCAAGCAGAGCCGTGGAAGAAAAGGATGGTCACCGGCCGCTTGTCACGAGAGCTAAACGGGCCCTGCCCAAAGGCAGGCTTCCCTCTGCACGCCAGCTGCCAGGGTCATTGCACGGCACTGGCGCATTTTCATCTGCCCTACTCTCACAGAGCTCAGAGGTAGGGTCTCCTGTGCTAATTTTACCCTCACAACAACTCTGTGATGTAGGCTAGACTGAGAGTGTGCGACTTCACTTCATTTCCCGCTTGTGAGGGGTCTGGCTAGTCATCGCTTGAAAAATGCTGCTCTGGATGGATGATCGTCTCTTCCACTCAGGTTGTCCCTATAAAAACTGTATAACCACTTTTCCCTTTCAAGGGTGAGTGCAAGCTACTTTTCCATTTTGCTGGATAGAAGAGCTCTGTGTATCTCCAAAGCTTGCACATTTCTAGTGCAGTTAATGTTTCCTTATCTAACCTACGAGGGGCGTTCAATGTATTCTCACTATTGGGTTGATTTGCTAATGATGTGGGTAACTTATTTCATTAGCTAATGACCCTATCTGAGGGTATACATGCAAAATTTCAAAGTGTGATCATTAGTTCCCTAGTAATCCTCAGTGAAAGACGACCATGATGACTGACACGACCATGTTGAAGAAAATCGAGCACCGCACTGTGATTAGGTTCCTTACAAAACAAGGAAAAAGTCAAAAAATCATTCGCGAAGAGTTCAAAGTCACTCCATCGGCTGGAAAAATCATGGCCACAGTTTTGGGACTCAAAGGGAATTTTATTGATCGAGTACACGAAAAAAAGGTGAAACCATAAATGCAACCACTCTGCGTGATTTAAAAGAAGCAATTAAAGAAAAAAGGCGGGAAAACTGAGTGTAGGTGTGTTGCTTCTTCACGACAACGCGCCCATTCACATGGCGCGTGTTTCGAAGGCTGCTGTGCGAGACTGTGGTTTCGAAGAAATAAACCACCCACCCTGTAGCCCGGACCTGGCCCCCAGTGACTACTACCTATTCCCGAATTTAAACAAAGATCTTTGTGGAAAGTGATTTTCCGACGATGAAGAGCTCAAGGCCGCAATTAATGCACATTTTTTAGACAAGGAGGAAGGGTATTTTTTACAGGGAATTGAAAAGTTAATTTCTAGATGTAATAAGTGTATTGAAGTTATGGGGGACTACATTGAAAAATAAAAATTATTTCAATTTATCATTCCTTTTTCTTCATGCTGATACCGAGAATACATTGAGCGCCCCTCGCACTTGAACCTCCTCCCTTGGAAATGGGAGGAGGGAATTCAGTTGAAGAGAAAGTGCTGCGGTCCTTGACTTGGCGTAAGGTGCCGGCGCCACCTTGTGGCCAAAAGCTGTAAAAACGAGTGGACGCCTGAAAGATTAAGGGTGCCCTTACACTGGGAGTGGTAGGCCTTTCCTGGCTAAACTTGTATAGGATTGCCCCTTCAGTCAGTCACAGCGGCATTTTTTTAAAAATGTTTTCCATACAACCAGTGGCTATTTTCTCTTTGTAAAATAGCAAAGTTCAGTATTTCTGTCAGATTCAAAGGCAGATACTTGTTTCTTTCTGAATGCAAGTTGCGCTAAGGAGCAAAATCGATATTCACAGGTGAAAAGCATGCGGGGCAGGGGAGGGTTTGGGCCAGGTGCCCTCTGTGGCTCCCGTTCCTTCCTTTGACCAGCAAGAGTTCTCGTGTTCTTCCCCTCTCTCGGTTTAGTCCTCAGGAAAAAGGGCAGGTGAATCAGTAGATATTCACTGATGCCGAACGGCTAATTTACTGCAGTAGAAGCAAGTGAAGACTTAACTCTGCATCCTTTATTAGCAAGTGGGTAAACCAACAACAATTGAGAAAAATCAAGTATTTGCTTGATAGGCAGAATTGCCGTAGCATTTGCAGTAAAGGCACAGCAAAGCAGGGCTATCAAAAGCACAAGGGGGCATCCTATTCAGGGCATTTTGATCCTGCCCAGGGGCACGCAGAGTGCCATACACAGCCTCCCCCTCCTTGCTCTATCTTCACAACCCCCGAGAGCTGGAATGAGGAGGAACCCTTCCAGGCCAAGCAGGAATTTCAATCTAGGGCTCCCCCGGCCAACACTCTTGGGAGACACCTTTCGGGAGTGGTACCTGCAGACAAAAGCCTACAGTCTCAGCAGCTTTTAGGAATCCTGAGCTCTGTGCAGCGGGATAAGCAATGGAGACAAGTTTTGCTTTTCTGCCCTCTTTTTAAAGAGTCTTCAACTCTGAGCCAGGTCTTTGAGCTCATCTAACAGAGACGCAAGGCAGGGCTGGACTGGGCCAGGGTAGGCCACGGCGAGTCCATAGGATTTTTGTATTTCCAGGGCTTGCCTTTTCTCTCCTCACCCCCAGACCACCCTCTCTTGGCCTTTCCCCGGTCCTCCAAGGACACACCTGAGACCTCAAAAAGCAACCACACTGGTTCCTTCCGCTGGGAAGGGGAAGGGGCCCCATCCCAAAGTTGCAGCAGTATCCTTGGATTCAGGAAGGGGAATCTGAGGAGGTCTGTGGTCCCTGGGAGTTTCTGTGGCGAGCAAAGCTTGGCTTTGTCTGGGTGAATCATCTTATTTACGTATACCTGCTGAAACGGAACAAGGTGGGAGCTGTACGACTCGTTTCGGTCTTGACAGGCATAGGGTCGTGTTCCCGTTTCACACTACCTTCCCCTTCTCTGACATCGTCAGTTCTGATGTTAAGAAACCGGTGGTGTGTCTTACCAGGTTAGCCTTGAGGAAAGGTGAGCTGAAGGATCCAGTTGCTATTTAGGTTGTAAATAATTTGGCAGCTGCAGAGAATGAAACTGTATGGTGTACACTTTGGGTGATGAGCTCCGTTGGGTCATTATGGCTTTCTCTCTGTGGATATACAGGATTGCTTGCTGCCCACATGTCCAGTCAGGTATGTCGGGCTTGACAGAAGTGCCCCTGAGCAGCTACAGAGTGCTTTCCCCTCATCCCTCAGTAAGGGTCTGGGGGAATTGGGAAACAAGATTTCCTAAATCAGAGACTGGTGTCTCCAGGAAGGCCTAAGCCGCCCTTTCTCCAGATGTGCCATGCCCAACCTTTCCGCAGCACCCCCAAGCCCCACGCTTGGACAGCTGCACTCCACACTGGAGGAGCCCCCCGAGAGGAGCTGCCCCCTCCGAGGTTCACAGCGATAAACAGTCCAGCATGCGAAATACCGATGGGCGGGCCCTGGGGGGCCGCCGCCCAAACCCTGCTCGGGCACGGAGCTCGCTGCAGCGGCGTGGGCCATCAGCTCTCCTGGGGCCACGAGGGTCGCCCGCCTCCCGATTCCTGGGGGGATGCAGCTGTGTGGGGGGCAGACCTTCAACCAGCAAGAGCAAAGGAGCACGATGGATGCGCAAGTGTGCGGGGAGGGTTTCCTGCAGCGGAAATCCTCCGTTTATTTCGATCCTGGTGTCTAGAGATTAGCGAGCGGATCCACACGGAATGCAGAACGAGCCCAGAGGAGAAACCAGAGAGCCCCCGAAGAAGCCCCCGGCTTAAAACCAAGCGGCTTTCACGGTCGAGGAAGACTCCTCCTAGCGCTGCTCCTGCCCAGCCAACCCTCTGTCTGCCTCCTCGGCACCCGCTGCCTGCACGTGGGACTGCCTGGCCGGAACATCCGGTGTGGGAGGACCTTGCCCCCCGAGTCCAGCAGCCCCCAGGGCAGCACTCGCCCCCTAGCTGAGCCCCGCTTCGCTGCCGCTGTCCTCGTCCGGCTGGACGGCATCCTCCTCTGCGTCCTCCTTCTCCACAAAGTCGAGGATGCGGCGGTTGGCCTGGATCGAGTACTGCTGCTGGCGGAAGTAGACCTTCAGGGCCCCCTTGATGGCGACAAACGCAATTCCGCCCTGCCAGGCGAAAGAGCCCTCCGAGATCATCTCGCGGAGCAGAGCGCAGGACCCCCGCCTCCCCAGGCCACCGGTGGACAGCCCCAAAGGGGCAGCCGCGGGCAGGGTGCCTCGGCTTTCGGGGGCGAGCGGGCAGTGCCACCACCCCCCAGGGGATCCCAACGAGCCCCGGGCTGGCCGATGCGGCGCTTGCTGCGTGTTGCCGCATCACTGCCAGAACCAACGCCCCCGGGCACGGCCCTGCAGCCTTCCCCAGTACGGTGCCCTCCAGTCATTGGACTGCAGCTCCCATCTTCCCCAGCCACGGCCACTGATGGGAGTTGAGGGCAAACGCACCCAGAGGGCACCAGCTGGCGAAGGCTTGCATGGGGGAGGGAACTGGGGTGTTTTTGAGGGAGGAAGGCTTACAACAGGGGGTTGATTTTGCAGCCAGGGGTGGTCTTTTGCCTCGCACCTTCAGGATTTCCCAGGGGGCTCCTCCCCTCCCCGGGCCCTCCCAGCTCTCACCCAACAGCTCCTCACTTCAGGGATGAAACGGAGGCAGCTGTGCTCCCGGGAAAGAGAAGCAGCAGCTGTGGGAAGCACCGGCTTGGCTTTGAGGCGACCCCAGCTGCCAGGAAGAGCACGTGCGCTGTTCTGAGGCGGAAGGCCCAGAGCATGTGGACGGGTGCTAGGAAAGGCACCTGTGCCTGCAGACAGCAGGGCCTACCCCAGCTCCTGGCCTTGAGCACTTCTCTCCCAGCCTGGCTCCTTGCGAGCCTTTCAATGGAGAACCCACGGCGGAGCTTGCTACCTTGACTACGCGACCCATGCACCGTACTACGAAATCTATGGTCCTGAATGATGCACCGGTGGGGAAGCTGCTGAGCAGTGCTGAGGCACAAGGGCAGTCCATACCGGACTGCGTGCAGACGGGGACCCTCCGAATCCCGACCCAAATGTCGTGCCCGGCCGGCCCCTCTGCCCCTTCTCCCCGGACTCACCAGGATGGTACGCTGGAGGCTGGAGTTGACGCGGCGGAAGGTGACTCTGCCAACCAGGTTGGCGATGGTGGGGAAGATGAGGGCGCCGCAGAGCGTGCGTGAGACGGAGAGGCGGTCGCTCTGGTAGCGCGACTCTGCCAGCGGGGCCTGCAGGGCGGGACGGCTGGCCCCTGCGGAGGCAAGGATTCGGGCAGTCTCCGCTCTGAGCCCGCTGACCTGCCCCAGCCCAGCCGACAAGCCGGAGCAAAGCACGGCCCAGGAGAAGCCCGCGGGCCGAGACGCTCACCTGGCACCAGCGCCTGCAGCGCCTGCAGCTTGCTGGAGTATTTCCGCCAGCCCCGCAGCACGTAGTCCTCCCAGCGGATCATCCTGCCCAGGACCAGCATCACTGGGATGGTGGGAAGCCCCATGAGCAAGAAAAGGGGGTCTGCCCGCTCCATCACGTCCAGGCCCTTTTTATGCCCCACCACCTGCAAAACAGAAGTGACGGATCAGCAACGCAGGCGGGCAGGACAGTTCTGCTCTTCCTGACAGTCAGGACCCCGAGGGTGTGGAATGGGCTTCCAGGGGAGGTGGTGGAGGCCCCCTCGGTGTGGGTGTTCAAGGATAGGCTGGAGGTCCACATGGTGGGCATGTCGTGAGCGGAGCCGGCTGGTGCCGGAGGTCAGACTAGATGGCCCGGGAAACCCCTTCTGACTCGCTCTGTTTTCTATGTTTCTATGCTCTCACCCGCAGAGGACACAATCCTGCACCTCAGATGCCTGCACGTCGGCCTCACCTGGTCTGAGCTGAGCTGACTTTGCCCGCTCCAGTGAGGCCCGGAGGCCCACGAGAGCAGGGCAGGATGGAAAGGGAGGCCCTCCTGCTCAGGTCTGTGGCCGAGCTACAGCTTAAACCCAGCATTCTCTCTTCTATGTGCCTCGTGTTCTCACATGTTGTATAAAGTTTCCAGCGCAACCAGGTTATCATTCGCCTGGAGACCTTTTTCTTCTGTCCTGACAACCAAACCTCCACGAGGGCAATGCAACTCAAAAAACAAAACAAAACAAAACAAAACAAAAACACAACCAAAATCCCTTTTTGGCTCCAGGACTGGGTAACGCATGGACTGCCTCTCCCAGGACGAGCCCTCGGCTGCCCTCGGAGGCCCTCTCTGTGAGCAGAGATGCTGGGAGGCCCGACTGCTTTCCAGGCCAGCCCCAGGCTCACGAGACAGTCCCCCAAGGCCCCTGTCTCGGGCTGACACTGTGGGCTTTCCTCCCAAGAGGCTTGGGGTTTAGTTGTAGGCCAACCCTGACTGCTCTTTAGAAGGCCAGGTAGTGAAGCTGAAACTCAAATACTTTGGCCACCTAATGAGAAGGAAGGACTCCCTGGAGAAGAGCCTAATGCTGGGAACAATAGATGGCAAAAGAAGGAGGGGATGGCAGAGGATGAGGTGGCTGGATGGGGTCACTGAAGCAGTCGGCGTGAGCTTGAGTGAACTCTGGGGATGGTAGAGGAGAGGAAGGCCTGGAGGAATGCTGTCCACAGGGTTGCGATGGGTCGGGCATGACTTCGCGACTAACAACAACATTATGGAGTTCTTTCTCAGTGGTGCCCAGATGGGGGGAGATTTTGAGTTTTGTTGACAAACATTTCTTACTGCACACTGAGATCATCTTTTCTTTAGTGCTTTATTTATATCTGTACTATTCTGCTACTGACAGTTCAAATTGATTTTGGTGGGTTTTCTATTATATTTGCCATCGATTTCTGTATCTTTGTGAAGTGACTTCAAGACTGCCTTTTACAGAGGAAAGCAGCGCATAAAATAATTACAATAATCTAAAGCTTTTGCCCATTTTGAGGAAGCCTTGCATTTTCTTAAATCCCTTTTAACACAAATTCGACGACAACCATCTCTGCTAGGGGTATTCTTGGATCCGGTACCTCTCGGCTGCAAAGCGAGGCATTACCTGCATCACGGTGACTGCCCCATAAGTGACGGCTGACCAGTACAGTGTTCCCACCACAATGCTTGCCGCTGCAAATGGGCTCACTTTGGACAGTGCCCGGTCCACTTGCTGCAGGAAATACACCAAGGGTCCTGCAAAGGGGAGGTTATAAAAGTCAGAAGAAGCCACTGAACATCATGGCCTTCCAGTGGCAGAATGCCTGGCCTGGCAAAATGACACAACCCGAATTATATCCCAACCACACAGCCAGACTGAGTAAACAACTGGGAGAAGTAAACTGGGGAAGATCACTACCCAGTCCTTCCATATCCCACCCCTGGCCCTGGCTTCCTGCTTCCTTGCTGCTGGGTGCCAAGGAATTAAGCACCGACAGGCACTTTGCAATTTGCAAACATGGAATTCCATGTTAACAGCAGCAAAGGTGTAATTTATCGAATAGCTTTCAACATATTAAGACCATTGATTTTACCCTGCTGTTAATACTCCTTGACTTAGGGTGATCCCTGCCATGCAGAGTTCCAAGGTCCTTCAAGGGAAAAATGGTGGGATAGCAGTATAATAAGGTCCAGAGCTGCAGGCCAACGGGCCGAAAGAGCCTTTCCACAGCAGGGACCCAAGTCCATTGCAGCAGCCTCTGCTCTGGAGGGGGCGGGTGTCCTTGCTTTGCCTTGCCTTCCCTCTCAGAGCCTTCAGGAGCTGGGACCACGCTGTTCAGCAGCAGCAGGCGGCAGGGGAATGGGCCTCTTCTTCTGCCAAGGTCACGCTCCTTCAGGGACTACACTGGGCCACTCGGTGGTGGAAGGCAGGGCCCTGGGCGCGATGGGGGCCCCTGAGGAACAGCAAGGGCGGTGAGCCCAACCTGAGGGCTGCCCCACACCTGACCTGGGAGGCGGAGGCCAAGAGAGGCGGGAGCGGTGGCGGCTGCTGTACACTGCGTGCGGATGCAACCTGCCTGGCGCAACACCTCCTCATGCGCGGCTCTGCGGGACTCTGTGGCTGGCCGGATCGGCTGCTGGCCCCGGCCTGGCGCCTTGGACGGACGGCCCCCCGCCTCGCTGGCAGGACGGGAAATCCAGCCTCGGAGCGGAGCCCTGTCGGGACAGCCGGATGCTCACCCAGTTTGGGGAAGACAATGCAGTACTCGGTGCCGCACTGCGGGCAGCTCTCGTTCCCTGTGCTGTTGCCCTTCTGCTTCTCGTCCAGCCACCGCTGGAGGCAGGCCTGGTGGATCCATTTGGTGGAACCTTTGCAACGGCACGGGCAGACCCATTCTGCCGACCGGTCATCGCCCTCCGTGCCGAAACAGATCCAGCAGTGCCTGGGAGCCGGAGACCAGAGAGAGTGGCCGTGTGAGCGCACGCATAAAGAACCACCCTCCGAAGGACCACGGCTGAAGCCTCGGTCACAAGAAGCCCTCCCCTTGCCGGCCAAACAAGGGGAACCATCCAGCCACCCGGAGCAAATGTTGATCGCATTTCCACACCACACAATAGTCAAACCTCTCGTGGGGGAGGGGGGTCCATGAAAAATTAGCACCCTAAAATGCAACGCGATCGAGGCTAGATGGGAGAGCGCATCGCTTTCGGTGCAGTCTGCGCCATGCTCAGGCGAAAGAGATTGAGGGAAATGGATGCGGTCAGCAATGTATTCGTTTATTTTAAAGTTTTTATATGCCATCCCAGTACTAAAAGTCTCTGGATGGCTTAAACAAAAAACAAAGCAACCATAACAACAGCAACACACTGCATCTGATAAACGATGATAAAAACAAGGATAAAACCAATTAACTGTTAAAATATTGGGAAAATGCAAACGTGCACGTCACTGTTACACATTCACAGCTCGGAAGGGGAGATTGCCCAGAGGGGAAAGACCCCGGAAAAAAACAGGAATCTCCAAAGGTCCAGCATGAACTAAGGGTAATAACGCTTGTTATCTTGGTAATGCTAAGTATGTCTCCACTTGGAAATCACTCAGATGGGAGCTTGGCGTTGCGCTTGGCCCAGAGTTGTGACAGCGTCGGCCACAGCGTGCGTCCCTCTGGACTGGGTGTCCGGGAGAGCACTGTTTTGTAGTAGCTCCAATTGTTCCCAGAAGGGGGGGTCCCCGTAAGGGGTGCTTGGAGGCTGCCACTCTAACTCAGCCTTCCCCAACCGGAGGCCCTCCAGGTGACAACAGGTATTATACTCTGAAACATCGGCAAGGCACCAGGCAGGTAAAGCTGTTGCAGGCCAACAAACTGAAACCTAATCAGGACACAACCAAAGTCCACTTGGCTGGAGGCCATCCAGGTGAAAACATGCAGCCTCTTCTGGACACCGCCCTGAAGGAGAGGTGTGAAAACTAGGCAGTGCTTCTGGATCCAGCCCTGGTTTTGGATCCCCAGGATCCCATATACCTGCAAGATGACCTACCAGGAGCAGTTTGAACACTCAGAATACACTAATCACAACCATCGCCCTCCGGAAAATACTGTGGCTAAATCCTGAGCCCACACTGAGAAATGCCAGAGGTACAGGTATACTTCAAACGTGGTACAGGCCAACCCAGAGTGCCCTGTTACACTGCACATTGTTTTGGAAGTGTTCAAAGCCTTCAACTATCTTCACAATAGCATTGTATGGTTTGTAAGTTTTTTCTCCCGGTTCTGCAGATGAAGCTCTGCGGCTACAAGGCGGCTAAGGAAAACAGTTGCCTAACGCCACCACGTAACTATGTAAGATTTGAATGTGGGAATATGTTTCCCGCCTTGGGTCTTCGCGTAGCTTTGGGATCAGCTCCGTTTATCTCCACAGGCAAAGGTGCTGAAAGCTGGAATAGGAGCACTAGCCTGTGAGGGGGCAACGGAGGCGTTTTCAGCCTATAGAATTGTGCCCTGAAAACACTGAAAAGAGGCAAAAATGCCAAATGCGCAAGCCCGCCGAAGGCACTCAAAACAGCACGGGCCGAGCCAAGCCTGCGGCCGTCAGAGCACACCGGGCGCCACCGCGTTCACACGTGCACGGAGCAGCCTGGCCCGTCCGTCTCGCAGCCACCCGCGGCCAGCCGCCCTGCCAGCGCTGTACCTCTCCACTTCCCCGGCGCCCGCCGCCGTTTCTGCCATCTCCCACTCCGACGAGCCAGGGCGCAGGCGGATCGATGCCCGAGAGCCCCCCGCGCATCAGCAAGCCGGGGCGGCCGGGAAGCGGCGACACGCGGGTCCCATGGAGACGTGCGAACGCGCAGCGATCCGGGCGCAGGAAGGTCGCGCTCGGCAGGATTCGGCCCCCGCCGTGGCTCGTCCGCTTCCGGGTCCTCCTCTTAAAGTCGCGCCGCCTCCGGGTGCTGCAAGAGCCGTCCTCCTGCAGGCTGGAGCCGGCGCAGCGCGAAGGTCCCCGGCGCGGACGGAGCGTGGCGGAACGTGGGCACGGAAGATCCTCGCACCCTTTCTGGCTGGGCTTGCCCCTGTCCCGCTCGCCTTTGCAGGCAGATCACACCACTGGGGTCCCTTCTGGGTTATGGAGCGGAAGGGAGAATGGTTTGAACTCTGCACATGCTCGCCGAGGTGGCTTGAAAAGCGGCGGCTGCCTTCGCCCCCGCGTCAAAACGTTGCACGTTGGCAAAACTCACAGGGTGACCTTGCAGGCCTCGCTATCGCTCAGCCTAGCCTACCTCATCGGGGTGTTGTGAGGCGGAAGGGCATCGATGCGGCCCCGAGATTCTTGGAAGAGAGTAGGCTATCCCAGATGCGGAAAATAAAACGGAGCGTAGAAGACATGATGGCGAAGGCGAGGAGAGTTGAAGGGCAACCACAGAGAAGGCCCTTCATACCTTCTGGATTACTTCAGTTACTAAGAAGGAACTTATGTAAAGCCAAGTGAAAGCACACAGGCCGCTATTGCAAAAAACAATGTGCAGGCGTACTAGATCGGATGGTCGCCATGCACCCTCCATTTTTTAAAAAAACCAAAAGGCAACTAACTGTGTTGTCTAGGAGAAAAATCATCCCCCGCCAACCTGCTTTGATAGCATCTTGCCTGATGGAGGGATCTGGAGAGCTCCAAGGCTTGCACCTTTGCAGTCGCCCCTCAGCTGGCCCCATCTAACTAAGCGACTAAACAAAACCCTCTCTAGGTTTTGGAATTGCAAAAAGGTGGCGACCCTAAGAGCCCCCGTAGTTTCGGTGAGCAGCAGCACCTCACCCATGTTATCCCTTTGCCACCGGAGGCGTCCTAACCATTTTTCTACCCTGACACGTAACGTGTGAACGGACAAGAGCAACTACAGAAAAATTCTCCATCTTGAATCCCGCTCGCTGGCGAGCTAAGCGCCGCTGCTCTACTAGGAAAAATCCCTCCCCAGCTCGCTCGCGCCGCCCGCAGTTCGAGCGCGGAAGCGCGTGGCCCCTTTAAGAGCGAAGCCATGACATCACTCCATTTCCCCTCCCTGTTCGCTCCGCCAAACCTGATACGGAAGGCCCGCCTCTGGCTCTCGCGTTGGCCAACGGCCGCGTGGCTGTCAAGCCAGGAGCTGCGCCCTTGGTGGAGCGCCTCCTGCCCGGTTCGGGGTTGCCCCTCCGACGAGGGCGCCGATTGGCCGGGAACGCGTTGAGCGGCGCTTGGCCCCGCCTCTCCTCGCGGCGGCGAGGGAGGGCGCGTTCGGGTGCGCCGCGCTGGGCGGTGGTTGCCGGGCCACAGCGGCGGCAGCGGTGCAGCGGGAGGGCGGCAGTTCGGCGGCGTCCTCGGCTCCGCGCGGCCCGGCGCAGCTCAGCGGCCCCGGCCATGGAGTCCTACGATATCATCGCCAACCAGCCCGTGGTCATCGACAACGTAAGCGCGCGCTGGCCTGAGGAGGGAGCCGCGCCCGGCGGGCTGCAGCAGCGCCAGGCGGAGGCGGGGGAGCTGGTCTGGGTGGGGCCTTGGCCGGAGTCCCGGCCTGGGCCTCGCCCGGCGGGAGGAGCTCGCGCTGCCGTCGCCCCCGGCCGCCGTGCTGGGCGGATGACGGGGCAGGCTCGGGATGCTGGGCGCCTACGCTCGGGCCGTTGGTGCCGTGGGCATCTCGCCTTTTCTGCCCCGAGAGGAACCTCAGGCGGGCGAGGCTTCCTTCCTCGCGGGTTTGCCCTCACAACAGCCCTGCGAGGTGGGTGAGGCCAAGAGGCGGTGACAGGCCCGGTGGCAGCCTCGGGTTCCCGGCCGCGGCGGGGCGCTGGAGCGTGGCTCTGTTGAGCCCCCGAACCTGGCCACCGTGCCACGCGGTCCCTAGAGGGAGCACGTCTCCTAGCCTGCCCTTTCCCCTGCAAGAAGCCCGGGGTGGCTTGCAAAACTCCTCAACCTCTCTGTTCGGTCTTCGCGACAGCCCTCTGAGGTGAGCTGGGCCGAGAGTCAGTACGCAACTCGGAGTTACCCGGGGAGGCTCGTGGCAAGCGGGGACTAAATCCTGGATCTCCCGGTCCCCTAACTGCAACATCGCACTGGCTCTGTAGTGAGCATGCTTTCCAACACCTTTGAATGCTGTCCTGTTTATTTTGCCTGGCAATAATAAGCTTTCATTGTATCATGAGAGCTTCAGCTATGGGGCTATATGGAAATGAAATTAATGAAACTAATAATAACCTTGTATAATTTTTTTCACATTTCAGGCAGTGTTGTATTGAATTGCAGCATAAATGGCAACATTTAAGGGTGTTTGGAGAACATCTTGGAAAACCAGTAGTCATTAGAGGATTGGACTGGGATTTGGGAGATCCAGGTTCTGGTCTCCACTCAGTCATGAAGCCCAGTGGGTAGCCAGTCACTGACTCTTACCCCAGCTTACCTCATAGTGTGGAGGATGAAATAGAGAAGAGAAAAATGTAGGCTGCTGTGAGTTAGTTGTTAAAAGAAAAAATTGATAAATGTAATATAATAGCATGTTAATATTTATCATTATTGTTACTCCTTTTTTTAGGGGAGCAAGTTTAGGTAGGAAGAAAAGGATTATAATTCCTAGCTCACCCCAACTTTTCTGTGTAAAGTTGTATAGGTTTGTGCCTTTATTGTTACTGATCTCTAGTACCTCCAGCTGAGTAGAGGAACTGTAGCTCATGGATAAGAGCACTTGCTTTAAGTAAAGAATTCCCTGGATTCCACCCATTTTCATTGAAAAAAGGAACACAGGTAGTAGGTGATGAGAGAAATCTCTCTTGGTCTGAGAGCCTCTGGAGAGTCAGACTGGGCCAAGAGCACAGCATCCCTGCTTGGACAGACCAGTGCATCCCAGCATCCCGTTTCTCTCTGTGGCCAGAAGCAGGGTGTGAGGCAACAGGCCTCTTCTATTGTTCCTGAGCAACTGCGAATTTAGACACACTTTACCTCTAATTCTGGAGGTAAGCCATTATGTTTAATAGCCACTGACAGCTTTATCCATCATTTGGTGTAATTTTCTGTATTAATGGATGGGGTCAATAGTTAGATAAAAAGGCGTTCTGATCTGTTATAAAATAACTTCCTATTTTTAGATTGTACTGTGTTAAGAAGTTATTCTTAGCTTATTGCATCCATAGTGCAGATCTCATCAACATCTTTGTTTTAGACATGGTTGTGGTGCTTTTCAGACAGGCTTCACAAAGCAGCTTGCATAAAACAAACAAAACATCTCTTTCCCAGCTCCAGTTGCTGGATGCTTTAATTTAAGAAGGATAAGGTAGCAAGTGGTGGGAAAGATCTTCCTCTATTTTGAAACACTGCTGGTCAGGAAAATAATAATAGTTAACTTTTTTATAGAGGGGTTCATGAGTATCATTTAGTTCTATTTCTTACAAATGTCTCTGCACCCACAGCCTACTGATACCTCTCTCTTGGATCTGGATGCTCCTGTTTTGGCTGTGTGAGGCTCCACAGGCAGATGACTAGTTTACCATTAGGATCCTCCTTCCTCCAGGAAGTGTCATTTTCACCTCAAAAGCAGCTGGAGGTGAAAGGGGGTTCCTTGCTCAGGACCACTCCTATCCAGCTCTGTGGATGAGCATAGATAAAACGTGTGCTGTCCTCGGCCACCCCCTCGCCTGGGCCAGAACCACTCCATGCAGCGGGGTTGCTGTCTGCCAAATCCCCAGAGCCCTTTCAGGCATCTGTTGCATCTTGCTTTGCTGGGGATCCTGCCAACTGCAGCTTCCATGATCTCTGGTGACTGTCTCTGAAGCAGCTTCTTTCTCCAAATAATTTTCCCAGGCAAATACCAGGATTCTCTTCAAGCTGCTTTGTGACCACACCCTAACATTCTGAATGCCAGTGTTACTGTGCATATCTGGGGCAACCTACCAGTCTATGCTTTCCATTTTGTGTTGATAGCAGCTTAAGAATTGCATTCTATGGGGAGGCCCCCTTGTCTGTTCAGTGCAATTCGTCTGTGGAATCTTTTTTTTTTTTTTTTTTGCCAAAAATAGTGGTTGATGTTTGGAAAGCAAACATCAGTAGTTCTTTTGAGGATACCTTTGGAAGAGTTCTCATGTACCAGCTTTTCTTTGCTTCCCTGTGCTCTGACTCCTATTGTTTCAGGAAGTTTTTCCTGGTGCATTGCTATCAATGGGTTGGAACCCCTGTCCCTTGCTTTATTATTTACAGTGGTTCTGCCTGAGGTGGGCCTCTTGCCTTTTTTCATCTCTGTTTCCAACCGTGTTGCCTGAGTGGGATGATGTAACATGGTGTCCTGCAACAGAAGGGGGCTGGACTCGATGGCCTTCATGGCCCCTTCCAACTCTTCTATTCGAAGATTCTACGTATACGAACATTTGACCGCTATTGACAGCCCCTTCAAAGTGCCTGAGCAGCACCTTGGAGGGGCTGGCGATCAATGACTGTCAGAACCTTGAAGGAAACTGTTAGGCCTGTACGCGCTTGAGAATTAAGAAGTAAATGCAGCTATTCCTAATTTTCAAGCAGGCAGACAAAAACCCATGAAGCACCCTTCCAGCTTGCGATGCAGCTCCCTTGGTGGCAGGTTCGCCAACATGTTGTGCCTTGTCAAGACACTGCATGCTTTGCTCCGGCGGTTCTCCACTTTTAATTCTGTCCCACTTCCCCAGTATTCAGCCTTTTCACTGAGTGCTTCCCTGAGCCACAAGTAAAACATTAGGAGTTGGAAAGGGCAGACAAAGCAACCTTGCCTGTAATCTAGCTATAGATGGGATATATGCATATGCCTGCTGGCCCTTGGAGAAGAATTGTATGAAGCATCTCAAGGGCATCATAAATGATAAGCATGTTTCCCCCTCAGTCTGCAGATACTGCAGTTGCTAGTAAAACAGGAACAAAATTTAATCCAAAAGGTAGTTTGTTATTTATTTATTAAATCTGTGTAAAAGCTGCCCATTAACTAAATGTACTCTGGGTGGCCATTACAATTCAATATCAATAATAACATTAATAAAATGATATGACAAAGATACTTTCATAAATAGCCAAAATATAACACAATATATATCAAAAATGTTAAAAATAATAAATTAAATTGAGGTTAAAACCAGTGGTGCCACATTGTTTAAGTGGTGCCATAGGTGTGTTGAAAAAGAAACGTTTTTGTCAGGAGCCTAAAACTCAAAGCAGGTGCCTGACAAATCTCTGTTGACGTAGCGCTCCATAATTGGGGTGCCGCCACAGAAAAGGCCCTCTTCCTTGCCACCTCCGCTTTAACCTCCTAGGGAGAGGAGCCTGTCGGGGGGGGCCTCCACTGATGATTTTAAACAACAGGCAGAGATGTGTGGAGCAAGCCGCTTTACCCACAGAAGGGTAAGAATGGGCAAGAATGCAGTTCGTGGCACTGGCTTTCAGGCCATGGGCTGACGTGTTGCCAGTGGTTCTCTCCTGCTAAATTTATCTCATGTGGAAAATTCTTTTGTCTCTTTGCGTAACTGATTTTTTCTTCTGTTAGGGTTCAGGTGTGGTGAAGGCTGGTTTTGCTGGAGATCAGATCCCCAAATACTGCTTCCCAAACTAGTGAGTATTGCTGTGAAATGGATTCCTGGCTTCCTCAGTAGTTAGCATGGAAGGTTTGGGGGACAAGATGCACTGACCTGTGGCTGGTTTTTTCTTTTTTAAAAATGGGACACTCATTCAGGCAACTGCCTTGGACCATGCCCAGATAACTTTCCCTTTCTCTTTTGCCAGTGTGGGTCGTCCAAAGCATGTCCGGGTTATGGCTGGGGCTCTGGAAGGAGATCTCTTTATTGGACCAAAAGCGGAGGTAAATCTCACCCTGCTCTGTAGTGGCCTTTGGATGTGGCACAGACCTCCCGTGGGCCTTTGCCACTTCAGTCGCAAGCCCTGTAACTGGGGATTGGTGCCCTCCCTAAATCTGGAGGGACAACACAGGAGCCAAGAGGAGTCCTGCTGGTTCAGGGCAAGGATTCATCCAGCCCTGCGTTCTGCTCATGTGGGGCCACCCAGCTGGCTGAAGAAAACCCCCCAAGAAAGACATTTCTATTGGAGCACCTTCCTGCAAAGTGCCGTGTCTTGTTTAATTGCCTCCTGCTGTCCCGCCTGAGTGGGTTGGTGTCTCTTCAGCCCTGCGTGGCCCAGAGGCCTGGATTTCCTGAGCTGCACTGGCAACATTGCCAAGATAGTGATTTGGTCTCTTTTCTTCCGTGAACTGTTGCATGTGCTACAGAAGTGCTGCAACTACGTGTTGACGGACAGTGAGAAAATGGTCTGTACAATGTTAGAGGGCAGCTGTCATGCCTAAATGTGGTGCTAATTTTGAAAGAAATGCTGTGTCTCGCAATGGAAGCGTGGACCTCAGAGCAGACTGCGTGTCTGTAGGGTTGTGCCTCGAACAGCATCTCCCAACGTTCAAAGACCCCCCTTTGGCGCGCTCATGTCTGCCTTGCCAGCCTCCGTTGTGCCCAAATTTCAGGGAGGAGGCACCTTGTGGCCATTGTGCCCTCTCTTCTTGGTTTTCTGCTGAGCCCGCGGCGATTGCTCTCCTCCACTGTTGCACGCAGGAGCACAGAGGATTGTTATCCATCCGGTACCCCATGGAGCATGGCATCGTCCGGGACTGGAATGACATGGAGAGGATCTGGCAGTACGTTTATTCCAAAGATCAGCTGCAGACATTCTCGGAAGAGGTAACTGTTGCAAAAACAAAGCGCCTTGTCTTCCTTTGCATGCTCAGATTCCACTAGGCGCATTACGTGTTGTGCTGCTCCCTCTCTGGACAGCAGTGGGGCATGATTGCGCTATCACTGGGGACGAGGCTTGTGAATTTCCTTAAAGGCCTTGTTAACCCCCCCATCCCCCCGCCCACATTCAAATACTTTCCATTTGGCTTTTGATTCTTGTGTTCCTTGTTTGGAGCCTGGATCTTTGAATGTGAGGAGATGGGAGAAGTGAAGGTCAGAAATTTGCTTCCTGTGGAGGTGGGAGCATGGAATGTGGAGTAATCCCCCCCACCTCCCGCCACCTCAAGAGCCTTTGGCAGCAAAGCACTTCTTCTGCAGCCTGGGGGGTTAGTGTGCATGGAAGGGGAGCGCCTCGCATGTATCTGCCCAGGCTTCCCAGTCTGGTGCCTTCCAGATCATCTGAACTGAGCCTCCCTGTGCATTAAGTTGTCACAGGAACCAACAAGATCTTGTTGAGCACCCAAATTTGAACCTTCCTCTGTAGCAGCATCCCATTGGTGGCAGGAACTCTCCTCTTGCTGGATTTTAATTTAACTTATTTTACTCAAACATTTATATCCCGTCCTTTCTGATGAACAACTCTTTTAAAATTGCTTTAGGCACTGAATGGGGGAAAGCAGTAGAGGGATATCAAATTCAATCGGCAGGCAAGCAGTTCTCCCAATAAAGCTTTCCCAAATTCTCCCTGAGGGGAAGCTCTGAGGAGGAAAGCTTGAGCCAGCCTGCTTGGATACCAGGCCAGAAGATGGTGTAAGGGTGATGAGCGGCACCCTCCGGGGCAGCCCCCCAGAGCCTGGGGCCCCCCGATGTGTCATCTTGCTTGGCTCTTTCTGACTGCTGGAAAGGGCACGGGCACTGCGGGCAGAGAAAAGGTCGTCAGAGCCTGCACTGGCTCTCACTGGCTGTGGTGTTGTACTGGAAGGGGCCTGTTCTTAGGAGGGTCAGCAGAACAGTCATGCTTTGAGTGGAGGTGCTTCTTCAGTATGTGCACAGCTTTGTGAGCTCCTGTAAGCTGGAAAGGTGGCTCAAGATTTTTTCTTGTGAGTGAGGCTAGAATGTGTAGGCATGACAACAGCACATGGCGGAGCCTGGAGCAGGGCCGACAGGATGGGGGGCTGGCCGTGGCTGCTTCGGCATGCAAGACATTCTCTGTTTGACTGGGACTTTGTGCTTTCCTTCCAGCATCCAGTTCTCCTGACAGAAGCCCCGCTAAACCCCAGCAAAAATCGGGAGAAGGCTGCTGAGGTTTTCTTCGAGACCTTCAATGTTCCTGCTCTCTTTATCTCCATGCAAGCTGTCCTCAGCCTGTGAGTTTCCAGCTGCTGGAATGTGGAGGGTTCGGGATGGGGGACACGGCCCTTCTGTGTTGCCGCTTCAACACAGCCAGCCTTCTGTTCTTTCTCAGTTGATTTTCCAGTGTCTTGTACAAGAGCTTTGGAATTGTTCAGCAGCTGGTTGTCATGAGATGTCAACTCAGCAGTGGGTTGTCATGTTGTGTGAACCTGGACCATTTCTTACTGGGTACCTTGCTTATGTGTAACAAGCCACCCAGACAACCCATGGCTTGTTGTAGGGTTCTTGAGCCCATGAGCTAGTGTTGTGACATCTGAACCCAGGTGACTGATTCCCTTATCAGTCCAGGGAAGTGGTGAGCGAACTGCTTTGCAAGAGCATCGGAACCTCCTTGCCGAGGTGTCCGGGACGCCTCTGTGGTTCTCTGCAAGCACAATGGCATTGAGGGGAATCTGGCGGACTGGAATAGTGTGGGCAGCTCAGCCTGTCCTTTCTCTTTCTGAGCCCTAGTCGGTTCAGTTCTCGCTGGGAGGCTGGGCCTCTGCTCACACCCACCTCCTCCACCTCCACTTGCCGCATTCCAGTTACGCCACAGGCCGCACGACAGGAGTGGTCCTGGATGCAGGGGACGGAGTGACGCATGCGGTGCCCATCTACGAGGGCTTCGCCATGCCTCACTCAATCATGCGGGTGGACATCGCTGGCCGGGACGTTTCCCGTTACCTCCGCCTGCTGCTACGGAAAGAAGGCTATGACTTCCACACCTCGGCTGAGTTTGAAGTGGTCAAGACAATAAAGGAGGTGAGCTGAGGCCAGACGCTTGCACGTGGGAGTGGGGGCAAGGGGACCCCAGCAGCCTTTCGCACTATTAGGAGTGCAAGAAGGTGATGTGGATGAGAGGGTATCACGCCTTGCCCTGGTACTCGTGAAGATTCAAGCATCAGATGGTAGAATTTCGAGATTAACGATTCAATACCGCTTTGCAAGGGAAACGTAAATAATGCTCCTGCGAGGTGCATTGTTCCCTCCTGCACCCCCCCCCACAAAGTATGTGTTGAGCTTTGCAGCAGCAGGGCCCCAGGAGACAAATGCAGCAGGTAAGTTGGGCCCTCGTAAAACAGCTTGGCCCCTGTAAAGCAAGGTGCGGTGACCTGCAAAGAGAGGCATTCCTGATACCACATGTGCCAAGCAGTTGCAACAGCCGTGGTGCAAGCCTTTGGTATGGGGGGCCCAAATGTTTTTCATGGTCTAGCGGGGGGGGCACGGGCGTGGGAGGGCGGATCCATGGCAGCCCACTGTCAGCTTTTCAGGGGTGGGGCATCTGGCAGGGAGGGCCTTCTCCGGGAAGAACGTTCAACGCCCAGCCCAGCCGCCTCACATGTCGCCCTCCTCCCTGCAGAGAGCCTGCTACTTGTCTATCAACCCTCAGAAGGATGAGGCCTTGGAGACGGAGAAAGTGCAGTACACACTGCCTGACGGAAGCACTTTAGATGTGAGTTTCTGGACTGGAGATGGGCCTTTCTCCTGGCTGGTGGCAGCTGTCTGGGGAGGATGGGGGTTGCAGTGCAACACATCTGGAGGTTTTGTGCTGGGGAATGATGCCACAGAGGGGGTTTCTGGAGAAACACTGCAGTTTTCTTGATACCTATGTGGCTGCTCCAGACTTCTTGCACACAGAATGGTCAAAATCTCCATCCAACCTACCTCACAGGGCATTTGTTGTGGGGATGAGACTGAGAGCAAGAGGCGGAGAATGATGTAAGCTGCTTTGAGACTTTTGTTTTAGGAAAAAGCAGGGATATAAATTAATTTAATGGGTGGATCTCCTGACAGGTTGGTCCATCCCGGTTCCGAGCCCCGGAGCTGCTCTTCCAGCCAGACCTTATAGGAGATGAAAGCGAAGGGATCCACGAAGTACTAGCATTTGCCATCCAAAAGTCGGACATGGATCTCAGGCGGACGTTGTTTGGAAACATTGTCCTATCTGGGGGATCCACACTCTTCAAAGGTATGGCGCTAACCCTGGAGGAGGTGGTCTCTGGAGGCAGAGCTTTTTGTAGTGCAAGGCAGCGGGGGCAGTGGGGGGGTCAGACTGCCTTGCCCCTCCACTACCCAACTAGCTGCAGAATTGTCCCTTCTTACTGCTAGACATACCTCATAATTTGAACTAGCAGTTCCTAGCCTGAGCAGGACTGCTTGACCCTGGAGAGTCCCTGCCAGGCAGCTCCTGTTCGTTGAGCTTCCCTTTAGCTGCGAGATGCCAGGTGCTGAACCTGGGACCTTGCCTGTGGGAAGCATGTACCATGCTACACCACTGACCCAGGTGCTGAGCATTAAGAGTCGGCATGAGTGAGATTTGCAGCTAGCTTCAGAGGAATGAGCAAACTGCTCGCTGGGGGTGATACTGCAGGAAGGGCAGGGAGTGCCAGGACCTTCTGCTGGCTGGAGATACTGCCCTTTGACTGTTGTTAACTTCCTTGTCTCGACTCCTAAGGTTTTGGGGACCGGCTGCTTAGTGAGGTGAAGAAACTTGCTCCAAAGGATGTCAAAATTAAGGTGAGGCTGAGGAGGAGTTCCAGGCACCTGTTCTTACTGGCAATGCATTGTGTACACGCTGTTAGGAGAGCAACATGAAGAACTTTAATAAAATTGAGGTGGGATCCCCTCATATAGGGGAATGCTTTCTGTTCCTGTGAAGGCATCTTTTAAGAAGGTGACTGGAATGTAACCTGGCAGATCGTGGTTGGGAACGATGTTGCTCTGCCCAGATCGCTGGGCAAGACAGTCCAGACGGGCAGCAGACGCTTCCGGCCGCTCACCGCGCTGCCATCGCCCTCAGGACTGCCTTGCCTGTGAGAGTTGCCTCGCTTGCTAGCAAAGACGGCTCCTGGCCTTATTTTGTGGGCAGCAACACGGGTGGAACACTTCCCTCGAATGTGCTTTCCGCGGCCCCGTTGCATACGCCCGTCGGCCAAGGGCGGAAAGTCTTCTGCAGATGGGATCTGGGTTCCAAGCCACTCTGTATAGGTTTACTCCATTTTCTAATGAGGGCTGGGGATTTTTCAAAATGAGGTGCAGGCCCCTGGGTTCTCAGTGTGCTTGGATACTCTGTGCTGTATGAAGCACTCCCTGATTGGCAGGTTTGGATCCTGGGGCGTTCTGGGAAGCATGTTGAGGCAGGGTGGGCTCAGCTCTTGGGCCCAGCAAGGCCGCTGCTGGTGCTGTGTGTGGATGCCATTCTCCCAGGCAGTGTTTTTGATCCGTGTGTTTTTCTTTCCAGATCTCTGCTCCTCAAGAGAGATTATATTCCACGTGGATTGGGTAAGGGCATTCGCCAAGGAAGGATAAAAGCATCTCAGCCCAGTGGGTTTCAGCAAAAGCTCCAGGGGAGGGGGTGTGTAGTAGTGGCCTTTTTATCTCAAGGGAACCAGTCCTCCATCGTGAGCGAGGGCTGGGTGCAAGAAGGTCACTGCATTGCAGACCCCATTGGCCAACTCCCAGTCCTGTGCCTCCCGTGCGTCGGACGGCAAAACCTCCGCTGGCTGGCCGGAGAAAATGCTGCAGTGTTGCACACCTGGAGAGCACCAGGTTGGGAGTGGCTCTGGACGGTGCGAACCAGATCCAGCAGGGGATGAGCTGAAGCCTTAAGTGGAAAACGGGACAGGTTGGCTCTGTCGAGAATGTGCGTGGCGGACCACCCCATCCCATCCCTCCCTGCTTGCTTCTGTAGGGGAAGAGCATCTTTTGAGCATTCCCTCAGCCACCCCGTTGCCTTTCCGGCTCCCTGACCTCTTCTTTTCCCCCACACAGTGGCTCTATTCTGGCCTCCCTGGACACTTTCAAGAAGATGTGGGTGTCCAAGAAGGAGTACGAGGAGGACGGTTCCCGGGCTATTCATCGGAAGACGTTCTAGGGCAGGGGCGGGGGGTGGCAGCGGCAGCGCAGCTGGCGTCTGTGGGCAACTCATCCGGATCGTGTCTTTTCTCTCTTAACCCTTTCTCGTCCAGAGCTACCCCCCTGCTGGTGGGGGCCTCTTCCTGCCTTCCTCCTGGGCCTCACGCTTTCCTGTCTTAGTGCCCTGTCTGATGCATGTTGCTAGTGCACCCCCCACTTGCCATGGGAGGGAAGTGCCGCCCCATTCTGAGGCCTTGGCTGTGCTGGAGGGCGGCAGCCCCGCCAGGAAGGGAGCTCCAAGGTCCACCCCACTCCATAGCGATGTTGCTCTCTGACCTGGTGCTCGTGCCTACCTGCCAGGTGGGTAGAAAGGCTGCTTCCCTTGTCTCGGAGCTGCTGTGCACCCCCATCTGCCCTGCCTTATGGGATGGGGCCTGTGTGTTCTGCAGCTGGCTGGAGAAATTGTGGATGATCACTTGCCCCCCAGAGGAATAAACCACTCCATTTCTGGTGGCTGCATGGGGCAGCTGGCTTGCCCGCCTCAAGACTAGGTAGGACGTGTCAACCTGCAGACCCCTGCCTCTCGAGCAGTGAGACATGCCGAGCATCCTTTAGCCAGCCTGTTGGAGAGGTCTAACGTCTGAGGAACCTTCAGGGTGGTCAGTGCCAGGATCTCTCCATGATGGATGAGGAACTGGTCCCTCAGCAGAAGGATGCCTCCTGGAGGCTTCCCCACTACACTGCCCTGGAGAAACAGAAGTGAGAAAGGGTCGGTATCTCTTGGTGGGAGAGATGTGCTTAGGTATAGCTAGGGAAACAGGATGGGGAGCGTCGTTCCTCTAGCTTGTCCAGCCTCGGGGGAGTTGGGTTAGCAGGAGGGCAGACCTGGTTGGCCAGGAGCTCATGAGGAGCAGGGTCTGCTGGTCCAGGAGGCTGATGGTTCCTGCAGTCTGGCACAGCATGCAAGGAAGGCAGAAAGTGCTGGTCCGTTGTGGAAGGTGTTGGGGAGGTCAGCTGCCTCCAACCTGGTGCCCTCCGGCAGTTGCATTTCTGCCGAACTGGAGGGCACCAGGTTGGGGGAAGCTCTCGTAGGTGCCCACTGGCCCAGGGTCACCTTTTGAGAACTGTGGCTCTTGAGGAATGAGAGAGAATGTCGAGAGCCAGCTACTGTTCACTGAGGGCTCGACGGGAGAGGGCTAGGGTGGCCACGCTCAAGGGCATTTGGGTGAGAAGAGCTGGTCACCATGGAAGCTGCTTTCTCAGCCCGGCCCTCTAGTTCTGGAGCTGGGAAGAACTTGTGGAGCAGTGAGCAGGTTACCAGCTGGTTGAGATAAGGAGAGGGAGAGCACTCAGCTCCTGTGATCTGCCTACTAGGCATGCCAACCCCCAGCTTGCACTGTCGCCATCCCTCACAGATGGGGCCTGGCCCTTTGTGTCCAAGTTTGGCACTTGGTTCCACCTTGGGGGGGAGAGCGCCCCCGCCCCCAGCATTGGGCTTAGCTTCTCTTCTGTGTTGGAGTTCCCAGCCATTCCTCTGAGGGAGTTCGGGGTGGTGTTTCCTGGCTCATAGCGTACGGTTCCATTAAAAGAAAAAGAAAACTTGTCAGGCCTTGCTAAGCAGCTACAAAATCAAGCAGCGGGGCTTGCAGTACATGGGGGTTTCTCTGGCTGCTAAAGGATCCAGCAACTGTTCATCTGCCTTCCACTGACTTGAGATGCATTGCCGAAGGCTTAGCCTTGGATTGGAAAGGGTTACATTTTATTTTTATGGAAACCGGTTAATTTAAATGAAACCCCTGCTGGGGGGGGGGGGGTGAGGCTGTGTCCCTCAAGGGCAGCACGCCTGCTTCCCGCAAGATGGTGTACATATCTTGGCTTCTCCATCTACGGCTATCTATACCAAATGGAGGCAAGACCCCCCCCCCCCACCCAAAAGCAAACCACCTCTGGGCTGCAATGTACAATAATTTAACACAGTTGCCTGTATTTTTATTTTGTAAATTCATTATAGTAATAATTATAAATTAACAGCCAGTGGCTCTGCACTCGTCTCGGACTGGTCTGTCGGTGCGCAAGGTCCGTTGTGTCTTGGCGGTGTCTCGCTGCAGTGGTGAATGCAGAGGCCTGGCTGTGCGCCAACCATTTTGTTTAATGTTTTATATCCCGCCCTTCACAGTGTCTCAGGGTGGCGATAGCGTACGACACAGCATCACAAATAATATATAAAACTAATATAAAAACAATACCAACATTTGCGATCCTAGGAAAATAAAAAGGTTTTGGCCTGGTGCCTGGGTTGAGGAGCCGAGGAGACAAATCACACACTTAGAATTTATTATGCAAACTGGTGTATATATTTGCATAGTTGAGCTCAGTTAAAATGCATTTTAAAAATGTGACTTTTGGGCAAGGTGATGATATGGGCTCAGGAGTTGCTGGAGAAGCGGTTACCATGGGAAATTTCTTGTGCTCAAGACTTGGTTGCATCTGAGAGCCTGAATGGGTCAGACAAAGGCCTTTGTTCTCCATTTCCCACAGTGGCAAGCTGGTGGGATTGCGGAAAGGCCCCAAGCAGGACTTTTGTGCCGTTTCCCAACAACTGGTATTCAGGTAGAGCAGGGCCAGGTTGCCTTCTGGTTCACAAGAGGTGCATGGGAGCAGCTGGTTCTGTGGTCCTGGAAAGTTCCTAGGGTGTTTTTGATCCTTTACTCCAAACTTCTACTCCATTGCTGGCCAGCTTCTTTGAAAGGGGTGTGTGTATCTTATGCATAATTTGGTCATTAGCTTAAGCAGAGGTTTCCTCTTCAGAACCAGTGCATCACTGACTACCTTTAACTGGAAAGTAACAGTGCTTAGAATCTGTAGGGCTCAATGAAGAATCTGCCTGTTGTGGGAAAAGGTTACTAGATCCTGTAATCAGCTCTTGCCCCTGTAGCGTATAGACACTAGCCAGCAACCTGCTAACTGCACTGCAACACTTGGGGTACAGAAATGCCGAGCAGGCTAGAGAGTGTTCCACAATGAAAGCTAGGGAAAATACTTTAAGAGTATAGTTTGACTTGTTTCACAGAGATATTTATTGCCCAACTATATGAAAATCATGGGCATTTTGGCTTGGTCTCAGCTTTTCATCTGCTTCAAGGTTCATGGGTTCAGATTATATTGAACCAGGGGGCACTAAACATGCCAGCCAGCATCACTTTTAGACATTTTCTACCTCTCTTGAGGGATGCCATGTTACCACTTACCTGCTTACAAATGGCAATTAGTCTACCCTGTAGCCTTACCAGGGAAAACCTATTCCAGGGAAATTCGTTAGCTCATGGTCAACATCAGTTGAGCCAGTCTGCAGTACTGATTTCCTCCGGCCTGTAGGAGCAGGGCTGTACCTACCTCCCACCACTTCTTCAGCATGGCAGCCATCACATAGCTTTGCTTAGAACCTCCAAAATATGGATCGATTCACGATGAACAAGGGGCATTTTGCACTCTGGGTGGGGTGCAGCCATAGTCTGCCCCTCTAAAATTCCCTCCACCGCCCCAAGCAGAAGTGCCACACAAGCTGATGCCCATGCTAGAAGAGGGTACAGCCAGTTGCCCTCAACTCTAGGTGGAGAAAGGTTTCGCGCGAGTCTAGTGAAGAGGGCTGGAGATACTACTTGTGTTCCATTTCCCCCCTCTGTGTGCGTACGTGAACTCAGGATTCCGGAGAAAATGAAGGGGAGACGGGAATGACGGCTGCCTCGCACTTGTCCATTTTTGCTGCGCACAGGGCAGGGCTGGCTTTAGTGGCAAGCCTGGAACGTGGCTGGTGCCCTCACTCACACTAGGAGTCAAAAGACTTTATTACAGAGTTGCAAGGAATGTGATACATCAAGACAAACAGCTGCTCAGCTTAGGCTTGGATCCCGGAAACCATACACAGGGAATGTGTTCAGAGCCAAATCACGGCACCTCGTGGGGAACAAGCTTGTAATGGGCCCCGCAAGAAGGGCAGCGATGCATTTCCCCCTTGTGCACCCAGAACCAGATGATGGAGCTGCTGTCTTCCTCACCTGCAGTGGGGGAGTGATACAGCAAGTTAGTGAACGGTGGCTATTGAAAGATGTTACATTTTTGTGGGTGGCAAGAGCCAGGAGCAACTGAAATGCGGCAATGAATCAACACAAGAGAATACATTACTGAACAACCTATTCTGGCCTGCCACTGCAGAGCTCAAGGAAAGCATGCCATGGGCCGTTGCAAGACGGTAGCTGCTCCTTGGAAAGAACATGATATGGGAGGAAACCAGCCTGGCCCCATTCACAGTTCTGAGCAGCAGCAGCAGCTACAGGCTCTTGCTTCCGTCCTCCCTTTCAGATGGAACACTAGGGCCAACTGTCAGCTGTCCTGAGATTGTAGAAGTGAAGGAAACAGCACTGACCCCATACATTGGACAAGGGACTAAGGACTGCTGGGGTCTATAGGTACAATGAGAATATTGTAAGTCACTCAAGAATCAGATATAGATACAGCAGTACCTGGGCTCACAAACTTAATCTGTTCCAGGACTCCGGTCGTGACCCAAATTGGTCATGAGCCAAGTTAAATTTCCCCATAAGGTTCAATGTAAATAAGGTTAATCCGTTCTGTAACCATTTTTTAAATCAGAAAAATGTGAAGCAAAGTGACAACAACAAAGATTGCAGCCATCCCCCACCCCCGAGTACAAGCGTGACCATCTCCCCGCCTCCCCAGCATGACCAAGATCGCGCCTGTCATCCCTGCAGGTGCCCGTCATTCCAGCGCGGTGGGGGGGTGGGGGAGAGACGGGTGTGATCACGGGTGCACTGGGGGAGGGAGAGATGGGCGCAAACGGTGCGCTGGGGGTGGGGAGATGGCCGCGATCGCAGTTCCGTTCGTGCAGGGAAGGCGTGCCTGATCAGGCGGCTCCTGCAGGAAAGACAGGCGGAATCTCGGCCATCTCCCCCGCGGCTCTGCTTTGCTGTTCCTGTCTTTCCTGCAGCAGCGCGCCTCTGATCACGCATGCCTTCCCTGCACGAACGGAACTGTAATCGCGGCCATCTCCCCCATTCAGGGTGGGGGGGAGATGGCTGCGATCTTGGTCGCCACCCAAAGCGGTGTTCATGACCCTAGTCAAAAATTTTCAGACATTTTTGTTCGTGACCCAAGGCGTTCGTGAGCCGAGGTACCACTGTATATGTAAATGCTCTGGACTTAACAGTCACTCAGCCGTAGAGGGTAAGAATCTGATCAAACAGCACCAATGAGCCAAGTATCTGATATTCTACAAGGCAAGCCTACAACTGGACTCTATCATTTGTAGAAACTGCACTGCAGGAAACACTGCATTTGAGACTGGGCGGAAAACTGTTGTGGCATTCTCAGAAGGATGGAGTCACACTGTTTTCATATTAAAGTCTTCACAGTGGTTTGTGTGTGCTATCCACCCATATCCATCAAACCCAGGATGCAGTTTATGCCAGCCAACTGTAGTTTCACACAGAAATACACAAGAACATGCGAGCAATTCCCTTTGAAATGATACAGGCAGCCAACAACATCGTGCCAAAGATTGTTCCTTTACATAAGGAAATACTTACAGATACACCCTACAATCCTCTTGTCTGTGACAGAAGGGACTAAGGTGGGGTCCTCCTTTGTCCCAGCATGCTTTTTGGGTGGGAACATGCTGTAGGGATCCTATAAGCAGCAAGAGAGAAGGATGTTGAAGATCACTGCTTGAGGAATCACAGGCATGTAACTCCAGGATGTTAGCAAGATGTTAAAAAATCGGTCCTTCTCCCTAGTCAGATTTTTGCAGCAAGTCAGCCAGCAGTTGTATGTCCCAAATCTTCCCCTCCCTACCCTGTGGGCCGTGTGTTTTTGGTACAATTCTGTCGCCATTAGGAGAACTTGCTTCTAGGCCAAGATTTAACTCAAGTGAAGCCATCAAATTGCCCATTTCTAATTCAAGTCAACAAATATCAATCCAGCCAGGAGTAGATGCAACCTTCATTTCCCCCTCCAAGGTTCCAGTCGTTGGCTGAACTCCACCCAAGTGAACGCCGTATTAGAAGGGAGAATTTTGGAGGGGCAGACCATAGCTGCTACCCCTTTAAACTCATTTTAGAGCTGAAGCTAGGTGGAGTGAGGCTGAGGAGAGGGAAGCTAGAAGAAATTACTGTTAAGGATTGTGGTGTACACTACATTCCTTAAAGTATTAAGGAGTATAGAAAGAGCTGTTCATGAGGAATACTTTCCTTGCTTGTTTTTACTCACCAGCCCCTTCTTCAAAGCCTCCATGACTTTCCTCTCCATTCCCGTAGCCTGTTCTTCATCAGTGGGGATACCTACAATGGATTGATTGATAGTTTTGAAGAGGGGATGTGAACGATCCTTCCCTCTACTCAGCATTTCTCTCAGAATTGTAAACAGTGAAGTGGAAAGAAATTACATGTATAATACCAGACATTTACTTTCTTCTGATTTCTCTGTTTCTAATTATCCCCTTCCCTCCTACTGTACCCTATAGGTACTATTTACATTACCGAAAATCTCAGGCCCACACAAGTTTCTGCCAGAATAACTACGCCCGTCTTTAAGGTGGCATAAGTCTTGTTTTGCTTCAACAGACGAACACAGCTACCTGCTGGAAAGTGCCTTGCATACAAAAGAACACTAGAATTCATCACTAGTCTAACATTTAACATCAGCACAACTGTAACAGTCTTGTCATTTTGGACAAAAAGTTATCAAATACAGGGAAATAACAAAACTGGCTTCTAACTTATCAATCTTAGTTTTTACATGGACTGTACACTCATAACAAAGGCAACAGACGTTTTTAGGGTACCCACGCCCCCATTTTAGAATAAACTCCTGTGTGGTCTGCCTGACCTTTTTGTTGCACATTTCTCGTCCTTTTTCAGGTCTTTGACAACATAGATGTTTTTTAACAGCTTTATTATAATAAATTTATTATATTTATTACTATCCTGCACTGAGCACAGAATCAGACTAGATAACTTCCAATTTGATAACCTGTCTTTAATACCTGAGCTCTGGGAAGGAAAGTTGGGATAAATGGTCCAACTAGCTAAGTCTTCAAGGGCTCAGCTCAGTTATGGGCTATGCTAAATAAAGACCATGCTGCACCAGATCAGTGGTCTATCTAGTTTAGCACTTAGTACACATGGTGGAAAACCAGATGCCCAAGGATCCCTTCAGAATGGGTGCAAGACCTCTGCCTGCCCAAGCTGCTCAGCAACTGGGGTATGCAAGCATGCCACCCCGGTAAAGGAGGAACAACATGGCAATTACTATTTGGTTCATTTCTATACTCCCCCATAGCCAAAGCTCTAGGATTTCCGGGTCAGGCCAAGAACATCCAGTTTCCTCTGTAAGAGCTGCAACAGCCAACTAGCCAGCTGTCCTTTCGAAATCCACTTGATAAGAGAGCAACGAGATACTTCTGACCACTCCTTGCTCTTGCAGGCTTCCCCAACCTGGTGCTTCCCAGATGCGCTGGAATGCAGCTCCCATTATCCCCAGCCATGCTCCCTGGGCCTGATATCCACTGTACTCCAACAGCGCTCCAGAACACTTGGCTGCGGACGGCTGTGCAGGCTTCCCCAGCACGGCGCTTCCGAGCCAGAACACCCATCCTCCCGCAGCAACAGCCACGGCGGCCGGGAGCTGGCGCCCGAGACGCCGGCGGGGGCCCAGGCAGCCCCGCCGGGGACGGCAGGCGGCGCCTCCACCGCTCCAGCCTCACCTCCATCCGCCATGCAGCGAGACGCCCCCGCCAGGCGCAGCGGACCGAGGCTGAGGCCGCCTCGACTCGCGCTGAGGCCTTGGAGGGCACTGCACACCCGCAGTAACCTTGACGCCATCGCCAGCCCGACGGAGCAGATCTGTGAGGGAGCGGCGGCTCCAGGGATCGCTTCCGCCTCTCTCGCAACGGAGCTTCCGATCACCTGACCCGGGCCGCTGGGAAAATGGCGGTGCGGCGACTTCCGGCATGCACGCAAACGTCGCCATTGGCTGCGCGATACGCCTTGGGCGTGGCTTAACATAGCACGCCCCCCGCAGGAGGCTGTTTGAGATGCAAGGGCGGGAGAGTGGCTCGGTGGGGATTGCTTTATGCAGGGTGCCGTCTTGGGAGTTCGGGGAAGCAAGGTCGCCCCGCTTTTCGCCCGGGCTGCTCCATTTCGGCCTGGGGCTACCCAGGAGTAAGCGCCATTGGAGGAGCTTAGAGTTTGCCTCTCAGTGAACGAGCTTGGGAGGGGGCTGCGTTTTGTGGGGTTGCTTGCAGAAATCTAAAATCCTCGTGTGAGGGGGAGGGGTATTACAGGGGCCGAGCCTGCTGGAGCCGGAGCTCAGACCGAAAAAACGGGCTGCAGCTCTCGGGAGTTGCTCGGAATCGTGCCCCCCCCTTTTTTGTCTGTCTAATCCTGCAATGGATTGTAACTTGGGCGGTGCTGGCTAGGGCAGGCTGTAGGAGACGAGTGCTTGTTCATGTCTAACTCGCTTCAGATGTCGTCCTGTATTGGAAGAAGGGAAGGTCCTTCCATGCAACGGGTGGGGTCACACTCATATGGAATGGGCAACATTAGTGACTCTGTCCCTGCAGCAATCTTAGAACGGGGATCTCTGCTCCAAGCTCCTGATAAAAGCATAGCTTTATATTTTGGCTTATATAGTATTATTTCACAACACTTAAAACTGCCAGGTTTAAAACTCTAGTCCTCTTTGAGGGGTCAGTTCTTACGTATTCACGGGCATGTTCCACTGAGCTTAATGGGCGCGACTTGGGAGTTGACACTGCCTGCCCTCCATACAGCAGAAGCCCCCCCTGCGCCCCCCCCATTTTCCCTTGTCCTCGTTCGACCAAGGACAGTCCCCGTTTTCCGACGAGGCTCGGCAGCGGCACGCGGCTCTCCTCCCCCTCCCCCCCGCCGAGGGAGCACGTGCCCCGCCCAGGGCAGCAGGAAGCCTGCGCGCGCCCGGCCGGGCATGGAACGCCGGGCAGCCTGGCCGAGGTTGAACCGACGGAGCCCGCGGGAGTTGGGCGGCCCGTTCCCGGAGAGGCTGCTGGGTAGCCGCGCCTGCGAGTGCCGCGCCGCCGCCGGCCTCTTGGCGGGGCAAGGCGAGAGGCTCCGCCGCGGCCACGCCCGCCAGCCTCGCAAGCCCGCCTTTCTCCTGACCCAGCAAACCGCGACACCGCTCGCATTCTGACGTTACGCGGGCCAAGCGACCTCGCTCGCGGGGCCCTTCCCAAGCCAGTTCCACGGGTTCGGCTTCAACGTCCGCCGCGCCGCTGGGGGTTTTTTGCCCTTTGTTAGCGCCTTCCCCTCTGTTCCCCTGTGGGCCAACAACTCCCATCAGCCCTAGCCAATGGTGAGGCGGGGGGGGGGGAGTTGAAGGTTATGTTGTAAGCCGTCCAGCGCTCCCATGGCTAGTGGGGCGGCATATAAATGGAACGAATAAATAAATAAGGCCAAGCCTCCCATTCCTGCGCTGGGATGAACCCAGTGCCGCCTGAAGCTCGCGGGTTCCGGCGGCCAGCCCGGCTCGGCAGGAGTTAGGATAACGTTACCTCGAGGAGGGCCTGCGACTCGGCCGTGTCGAGCACGTGCCTTTCGCACGTGAAACTCCGCTCGGTGCTGCCCCATTGTGACCGGAGGGGTAAAACGGGATGGCTTTTTTGTTGCCTCATTGCCTTTCTATCCCACCGTTTTTCTGCTCGTGAGGAACCCAGGGCAGGAGAGGTTAAAGCCAGGTGCATGGGGTGTCCAAGCAATTTACAAAATAATGACAATAATTATGCCAATAATTATGCTTGTTTCCCACCCTTCCTTAGTACAAATCCCTGCTTGGCCATAACGGTTAAAGAATTGCCCTGGGACAAAACTGGGACAAAAGCTAACAAAGAGTTCCACCCTGAACTCTTTGGATCTCAAAGCAATCTCTTGAATCACTCACTTTTGCTAAGTCTAAGTGGTAAAATGCACCCATAGGGCAAGGTTAGATGACAGACTTGAGAGACTCTGAAGATACATTCAGAGCATCACTTGAGAGATTGAAACACTGAGTAGTTTGTTTATTTAATATGTATTTATTACAAACATTTGTATCCCGTCCTTCCACAGAAGTGCTCAGGATGGGTTACATTACAATAAATTACAATAATTATTACAAAATTACAATAATACAATAATAAAACCACAATTATTAAAAACAAAATTGAACATTATAAACTAAAAAATAAGGGAAAATTAAAGTAGGAAATGTGACTGTGAAAACAGAAAACAAAATGTATAGTTGCAATGTATATATCTATGTGGGGGAGAATTTATTTTTTGCAATGGGAGAAATGCTCCTGCTATCTCCATTTTCTTCTTTCTAGGTCATTAGAAGCTTTCCAGTGGGCAACTTACATGCATCTGCAGAAAATAAGGTTGCTTTTGCCAGGGCCACAGACCTATGGTTAGAGAGAGTGTATACAAAGCAAAGAGACCAGCAGTTTTCTGCCATTTCCGGCCACCAGCAGCAAAGCGTCTGCTAGTCCTCATACCAGCTTGTGGGAGGCTTCAGAGATGCCCATGAAGAAGACCGGGAAACCGCGCTCCCTGGACTCTTCTGTGCCCAGCGACCAACCTGGGACTTCTAAGGCTGCATTAGAGCAAATGCAGCACCACCCAGCTCCCAGGGAAGCTGCCAAGGCCCCGTCAGTGCCCCCTCCCCCAAAGAAGATCACCTACAGCATGGAGCTCTTTAGCACCTGGAGGGACATTCGTTGGTATCAAGTCCCCTTGTCATCTTTAAGGAGACCCAAGGCAGTCTTGTTCAGCGCCAGCTTCCAGTCCAGCCTGCAGGAGTATCAGCGGCTGCGGAAGACCAAGAGGCTGAAGGTTGGCCGGCCCTTCTCCGTGCTGCCGTTCCACAGTTTCTCCTCAGCACTGGCTGGTTGCTGGCAAGAAAGATACCATAAGCAGGTGAGCCGTCTGTCTCTGGGTGGGGGCGAGGGAGGGAGCAAGTGGCCAGCGGCATGCTGCTTTCTCCCATAGTGTTCCTCCCTGGAAACCTCGGTTCTGGGGCTGCCAAGTAAATCATGCCACAAATTTCAGCATCACGCAGATTGCCAGAGCACCCTCTCCACTGTGCGCAGAGGAACTCCTGGCCTGATGCAGTGGCAAACGAGCGGCCCATGCAACAACCCTCCGCTTTAACCCATGTTAAATTTGTCTCAACAGCATGACCATCGCAGACTCTCAAAAGCTGGGGATGCTAAAAGGAGCAAACGCTTTCCATTCCTCAGAGAAGGTAATTGTCTAACACATCGCCCTGTGACACTGGAAATACAGAAGAAAGAAAACATTTCTGTATGGCTCTTCCTTTTCGTAGTAAATACAGTTTTATTATGTGCCAGGCTGTTTTAGGCAGGACCACAATTTCTCATCTGTGGAATGGATTGATCTGTCACACACAGTTAATACTGGGATAACGGTAATACGGGTTATAAAACACTCTGCCTGCTCAAGTTGCTATAGAAATGAGGCACAATGACCCCTTGAGATGCTAGCAGCTGAGAGTACGGTGTTATTTCAGGCATGGAAAATCATAGTTTTTTTGGGTTTGCTGTGGGGCAGGAGTCTGATTTGCTAAACTAAGGCTGTGGGGAAGAGAATGGGGAAGGGAAATGCCAAATACCTTGCTTCTGAATGTTCTTCAGATTGGCAAGAATCCAGCAGGGGGCACTGTTCCCTTTAAAATCTTACTGATTCCCAGTGGCTTTTCACTAAATTAAAACGTTTGAAGGAAGTTGTATTTTTTGCCTGTTGAAAGGATGGTTCTCCCAGAGATACTCCTGTCCTTAGAAACTCAGAGCGGAATGTCCTAAGAGCCATTCCGTGCAGGGGCCTGGTCTGGACATCAGAGTAACCCAGCCAAAACAAAAAAGCTACTTGGTTATTGTGCAGTATCATGGAAGAGCCTACAGAGCCATTGAAAGCAACGCCCCGCTCAGCGCAGTGCAGGTCCGATTGGTCCTGTTGGTAAGGACTGGGCCAGAGTTGGTCCAGTTCTGGTGGTGGTCCAGTTGTTCTCCAGTGTGCAACTTGAGGGTGCGGACTGGATATCTGCGACTGCCTTTCCTGGCCTCTGAACTGGGGGCAAGGGTTGAGCAGGAAGGTGAGGGGTGGATGCCTCTCTGTGGCAAGGTGCAGTTTTGCCTTGCCGACAGGAGGCAGCACTCAGGTCTTTGTTCAGAGGTTCTCCCTGGGCTGCCGGGTGGCGTGACGCCATTGCTGAGCTTTGTGCTTGAGTGTGTGGCAGCGTCTCGGCCCCAGGCATTTCTGGGTGAGAGGGCTTATTGAAGGCTATTTCGGTCAGTCTTCAGGGCTGGTTAAGGGACAGAGGTCCTCTTCAGAGCAGAAACCAGCTGAGGGAGGCTCGTTCTCTGGGGTCTCGTTTCTCCCCACCCGCCCTCTGCTGCATCTCTCTGCATTCCCTCAACCGGATGCACAGTTGTAATATTAAAGTTCACCGAGAGAATGCCTGTCTGGAAGTGTTGTGGAGTCACTGTGAGGCCAGGACCTCTTCTCGGTCTTCCCAGGGTGCAGGACGCAGAATAACGGGCTTGAGTTGCAGGAAGCCTGGTTCCAGCTCGAGATCAGGAAACATTTCCCGACGCTTACGGAGCAGTAGGGCAACAAAGCCCCTGAGTTAGGGAGGCGGTGGGCTCTCCCACACTGGGGGCAGTCAGGGTGCAGCTGGACGGCCAAAGGAGGGATGCTTGAACTTGGGGTCCTGCACTGAGCAGGGGGTTGGATCCATCGGCTCCCTGACTCCTTCCAGCTCTTCCATTGTGTGATTCAGGTCGGGCGAGAGGGCAGTGCCTTGGGCTGGGTGTGTCCGTGTCTCTTGTCTTGCAGAGTTTTGTCCCTGTGGCTCTCA